AGAATGACCAGACCTCGTCTCACCTATTTTGGTCATGTTGTAAGAAGGGACCATTCCCTGGAGAAGGATGTCATGCTTGGTAGGGTGGAGGGTCGACGGAAGAGGGGGAGGCCTTCAACGAGATGGATTGACACGGTGGCTTCAATGATGGGCTCAAGTATAGCAGGGATTATGGGGCTGGCGTGGGATCGGGCAGTGTTTTGTTCTGCTGTGCATGGGGTCGCTATGAGTTGGAAACGACTCGATGGCACTTAACAACAAAACCATTATCTGTATTATTGTCTGTCTACCCACCCCTTTTTGTATAACAGCTCAAGGAAATCATTGCTTAGATGCCTGTGACCTTTGGTATTGAGCTTGATTCAGCTTGATTAAGCTAGACAACCTGCAGGAACAGGCCTAGATGGTGGTGTTGGAAAGGAGGAAGTATTTGGAAACAAGCACATGCCAAAATTTTAAAAACTATTCCATTCTGTGCTCATACTTGCATAGGCCCATTATCTTTGTAAGGTGCCCACATTTGCATGCCAGTACCTGTATCATAGCTGGCAGAAGTTTGCCGTCAGTCCCTAAATCAAGGTCCTGGTGCAGAGGATGCTGGTAAGAGCAAATCCCAGTCTGGGTTCTCAACATCTGTAGCTCAGAAGTTCACTGTCATATAATTTTGTGATATTGTTTCCATTTTGCTCTAGCACACAAAAACATTGCATTTTCCTCCATTAACCAGAGTCTGTATTTCCCTATACTCCCTTCATCTTTATTTTCATGCCTCTGTCACAGGGCTTTGACCCAGTTCATCCTCTGGTGATAATTTGCATTTCTACCTCAGGTATACTGATTCAGAATCTACAGTTTAATAAGAGTCACCTGGGTTGAACCAGAATGAACCGGTTTGAAGCCCTGCTTTCTCAACATTTTGCCTTTTCTCTAGAACCATCAATTTATTTTCACTGAGAGTAAGGAAGACTTCCCCTCAACTCTTGGGGACTAAAATGCAATCTTCTTAATTTTGGCCCAACAGAGCACCTTGATTTCTTTTTACAGTACATGTCAGCATCAAATAGCAAACCCTTTATTTAGGTGATAGGAGTTCTGCAGAAATTTGGAACAACATAGTTAATTGGCATCAACTAACCAAAAATGAGAAACATCAGTAGAGAAACAGAAAGAGCTAATGAATTGCAACTAGTAGTGTTTTTATTTTATTTGAAGAACAAGGTAATATTTCCATGGTTCCTTCTCCAGTCCCATATAGATATTATCCATGGCTATGCAACATTCACATGTGATCCCACACCCACAGTCGAGGTCAATGGGGAAAAATACACCGCTCCTCATATCCTGATTGCCACAGGTGGCGTTCCCTCACGTCCTCATGAGAGCCAGATCCCTGGTGAGTTTTAAAAAGGCAAATCCCTGTTAATACATCAGGAGAGTTTACCATATTAATAACTGATGAGCTTTGTTGGGGTGAAGGGTGTGAGACAGATAATTACAGATTGATAACTCAAGTCTTTGAGCGTGGAATATTGGGGAAGGATATTCCTTTTAACTGAAGTGGTAAAGTTGGGCGGGAATGGTTCTGGAGATAAAGTTAAGGTTCAATTTTAAATAGTTTGAGTAGGGCCTAAGGCATTTGACTGCTAACCAGAAGGCTGGCGGTTCAAATCCATCAGCCACTCCTGGAAAGGAAGGTTGGGCAGTCTACTTCCGTAGTGATACTGCCTCGGAAACCCAAGGAGGGGTCACTAGAAGTTGGATCTGACTTGACAGCAATGTGTTTGTTTTTTTGTTTGAGTTTGAAGCAAAGTAGAATTGGGTAGAAGGATAATTAGTAATACAGAACTGGAATTTAGGAAAAAGATCAGAACTAGAACTACACATTTGAAAGTCCGTCACATAAAAGTAAGAGTTGTTTGAAACTTTCAAAGAAGAAAACAGAGAGAAGAGGTCCAAGTCTGAGCTCCTCCTACATCTAGGGGTGGTTGAGAGGGCAAAGCAGAGGCAGTGAAGAGAATTCATAAAAGCTGAGAAGATCATAGTTCTTCGGAGTAATCATGGATTTATTTATTTATCAGTCTCTGATTTCTGGAAAGGAAATAAAAACATGGATTCAGGGAAGACTTATTTGTCAACTTCCCAAATAGAGACTTTTAAAAAAAAGTGTGAAAATAGAGTATGTTGGCTAAGAAAGTGATTGGTTCTTGTATAAAATGTAATTATTTTACAAGAGAAAGCAGTGATCTATTGAATTTTCCTACATAGGTGCCAGTCTAGGAATAACCAGTGATGGATTTTTTCAACTGGAAGAATTGCCTAGGTAAGCTGATATCTTTCCCTACTTCAAAGATTCATTCTTCTTCCCAGGACTAAGAACCGATTTGTTCTGGTTCAACCCTGTGCTGAGAATTTACATTTCCACACCAGATAATGCTGATTCAGAATCTACATTTTAACAAGATCCCCAGTAATTTTTTTAAAAAATGCATTTTATTGAAATATAATTTACGTACAGTGAAATACATAAAACTAAAGTGACATGGTTCAATGCTTTTTTTATTTTTATTTTTTGCAGTGTTCCCTCTCCTCCCCTCCCATTCCTGGCAACCAACAAAGAAAGTTTCCCTCCATATATAAACCTTTCCTTGACCCTCCACAACAACAAGCTAATACTGTATTTGTCCTTCTGTGATTGACATATTTCACTCAGCATAATGTTCTCCAAGTTCATCCATGTTATGCAGTGTTTTGCAGACTCTACATTACTCTTTAGTGCTGCATAGCATTCCATTATGTGTATGTACCATAGTTTGGTCATCCACTCTTCTATTATAAATCTTAGAGATAAGTCCTTTGCCAGATGTGTAATTATCGGCAAATGTGAATTTGTTGCTGTCGTTTTTGTTATATGCTTTGTCATGGTGTCGATTTCTTTATTCCATATAATTTTCTGTGCTGAGCTCGTTTTGTTTATGAATCATTTTATCACTTCCTTCATTGCTGTTGTTTTAGTATTTGCTGAATATTTATGCTGGTCCTCTTTTTTGATGCGAAAGTTTATCATTTTTCTTTGCGGTTACCCTGTGAATTATAGTTTTCTTCCCAAGTTTAGAACAGTCCGTTCTATCTTGTAGTTGTCTTGACTTCCCTGCCATCTAGAAGTTCTGTAACAATACAGTATTTTCCCTCATTTTGGTTTGTAGTTGTCCTCATTTGTCAATTGATGTCTCTGGTTCCCTGTTTACAATCTTGTATGCTTAGTTACTTTGGAGACTTCCATAGCTGGGTTGGTTTCTGGGTTATATCATTATGTGTGTTAATGGTCAGATGTTGTTGGCTATTGTTGCTTCTCTGTCCAAAAGGTACCCTTTAGCATCTCTTGTAAGTTTGGTCTGGTTTTAACAAATTCCCTTAATTTGTGCTTATCTGGAAATGTCCTAATTTTTTTTTTTAATTGTGATTTGGGTGAAAGTTTACAGAGCAAATTCACATTCTATACAGCAATTCATATACACTTTGTCTCATGACATTGACTACAATTTACCCCAATACAACAGCTCCCCTTCCACTTCCTCCTGATAGTTACCGCTTCCCGTGTCCATCCCTCCATGCACTCCTGCCCCCTGAACTGTCTCCCTGTGCACAAGCAGCCCTTCTTTCTCCCATGATTGTTCTCTCCAAGGAATGTATCTACCTCAGGTAAATGTTCAACTCATGTGCCTGTCTTTTGTTTGGCTGGAAGCCATAGGTGTGTGTTCAAGGGCAGCTAGGGACCATAGTCTCAGTGGTTCCACCAGGCTCTATCAGACCAGCAAATCTGGTCACCATTTTTTTTTTTTTCCCAAATGATTTTGAGTTTTATTCCATGTTGTTCTCCCTCTCTATCCAGGATCTCCTACATAGATCCCCCTCTGAGTGGTTGACAGTGGTAGCCAGGCACCATCTAGTTCTTCTGGTCTCATAGTCTTACAGGCTGAAGATCGCATGGTGTACCAGTCGCAAGGGCTAATTTTTTCCATGAATATTTGGTTTTCTTCATTTTCTTTGCTTTGGACGAGGAGAGAACCATCATTGCATCTAGATGGCAGCTTGCAAGCTTTTAAGATCCCAGTTGCTACTCGCCAAAGTAGGAGATGGAACAATATTTTGTGTAGTATGTTATGCCAACTGAGCGTGATATCATTGAGGGACAGTTTTGCTGGGTACATAATTCTTTGTTGGAAATTTTTCTCTTTCAGTGTTTTATATATACCATCCCATTGTCTTCTTGCCTGCATGGTTTCTCTCAAGAAATCCGAGTTTAGTTATTGGTTGCCCCTTGTAGGTAACTTAATGTTTTTCTCATGCTGCTCTTGTGATTCTTTCCTTGTTTTTGGTTTTGGTAAGTTTGATGATGATATGTCTGGGTGATTTTCTTTTGTGGTCTGTCCTGTTTGGGGTTCGTTGGACTTCCTGAATGGATATATTGTCATCTTTCATCATACCAGGAAAATTCTCTTCCAACAAATCTCTGACGATTTTCTCTGTGGTTTTATTTGTGTCTTCCTATGCTGGAATTCTGATTACATGTAGGTTATTCCTTTTGATGGTATCCCACAAGAACCTTAGGCTTTCTTCATTTTGTTTTGTTCTTTTTTCTGATTGATCCCTTTCCAAAGAAGTGTTCAGATACTTGCCTTCAATCTCTCTAATTATGTCTTCCATTGATTCAGTTCTGCTCCTTTGCCCATTCAATATGTTATCTATTTCTGAAAATTTAGTATTAATCTTCTGGATTTCTGTGTGTAGTTTATGTATCATTTCTAATTTTTCATTTTGTCATTTTGTTCTTGTATTGTCCTTCAAAATTGTTCTAGGGTTTTCTCTGTGTTTTCCTTGATCTGTCTCTCAATTCGTTGAAGATACCTAAATATAATTCTTTTGAATTCCTTATCAGGGAGTTCCAATGCTGCATCTTCCTCAGGGATGTGTTTTGGGTCTGTACCCTGGTCCCTTGTTTCTCCTGCTTCATCTTGCTTCTTTGGGTAGACTGTGATGCTCTGTTGTCTCCGAGGCATTGTGACATTTTTGTGTTTATATTTAATTGGTGATTGTATGTTGGAGTGACTTGCCCACAATTTTTGTTTTCTTTGTTTTGTTTGTATGTTATCTATGCAAATGGAGTACAGTGCTGTGATCCTCTGTTTGCTAGTGGGCAGCACTTATACATTCACCACCTTCCCTTTCCTGTTGTCAGCCTCTTTTATGTACCTGCCAACCTTGGCAAAGAGAGCCTATTCTTAGGTCCCTGGAATCTGAATGAGAATGCTATCACTTTAAAATCCAAAATGGTCGCCACTTGTAAAGATTCAAAATGGCTGTGTCCTCGGTCACTTTAAATATCGAAAATGGCCGCTGCTTGTAAACATTCAAAATGACTGCACCCACAGTCGCTTTAAATATCCAAAATGGCTGCCATTTATAACCAAAACCAAACTCACTGCCGTCAAGTCAAATCCACTGATAGTGGGTTTCCAAGGCGATACCACTATGGAAGTAGATCGTCCAATCTTCCTTCCGAGGAGTGGCTGGTGGGTTTGAACCCCCAGCCTTCCGGTTAGCAGTCAAATGCCTTGGGTGCTTCCAAAATGGCTGCTAAGTGTAAACAACCAAAATGGCTGCACCCTCCGGACAGCAGAAAGTCAGTAACTCAGGTTGTCTCCCACCTTGCTGTTTTTCTTCCTAGTTGTAGGCCACCAGCAAGCCAACAGCTTAGGTTGTCTCCCACCTTGTTGTTTCCCTTCCTAGTCACAGGCCACCAGCGCGGTCATATCTGTAGCCTTTGGTCACCAGGGCTGATCTGTAGGTCAATTCTCAGATCCTAACACCACTTGGAAATATTCAGGCTGTTGGTCCTGTCAGAGTAGCTGACAGTCTGCAGTTCCAACCATCTCTGTACTCACTGTTTTCGTTCAGGGTTTTCCACTAGTTGGTGACCTAATCCACTTCTGTATACTTCCTTTCAAAGCTCAGGGCTCCAGGATTATCTTCTGTATCTTTGTCAATTGGTTTTTCTTTTCTTTTCTTTGTTGAAGAGGGTCTGTGTCATTTGCCTGTCTGGTCCTCCATCTTACTGGAAGTCCCCCAGTGATTCTTATAAACCTCCTTGAAATATAGATTCTATTTCAGTATATCTGGCTTGAAAATGCAAATTCTCAGCACATGATCAAACTGAAATGAACCAATTCCAAGCCCTGCTTCCTCCATCTCTCTTGCTAAATTTTTTTCTCCCACCCTATCTCAGCCATTAAATGTAGGCATTTCCTGAATTATGACTTCCTACCTCTTCTCTAAAGTACAGTGGTTCTCCTTTTGGTACAATGGTTAGGCACTTGGCTGCTAACTAAAAGATCAGCTATTCAAACCCACCAACTGCTCCACAGGAGAACGATGAGGCAGTCTGCTTCCATAAAGATTGCAGCCTTGGAAACCCTATGGGACAATTCTACTCTGTGCTGTAGGATCACAATGAGTTAGAATCGGCACAGAAACACACAACAACAACCTCTTCTCTATTTGCATATCTCATCTGCTGGTACCACTAAGTAAATGACTCAAATCTTTAATGCTTTAGGTCAGAGACCATTGCAAAAGATTTAGAATCGGAATCAAATATAGAGTGACTTCCAAAATTAAACAGGAAAGTCCACCAGACAATATTAGCCTGGGTTTCCATATATGAAAACAAAACCATGTTTTGAAATTGTCTTCTTTGTTCAACTTGATTAGCATCAATTGATGATGTGTCTAAAATAATGTTGATTCTGGTTTTTAAAGCAGCTAATGCAGAGGGGTCTCCATAAATGAAGGCTCTGTCAGTGTCACAAAAATATATTTTCTGAAATTGTTCCTTGTATGAAAACAACCTCACTAAACTTCTGTTGTGGATTTAAAAAAGAAAAAGGAAAAAAGATGAGGAAGATGATTTCTGTAATTTGAAGATGCTGCAACTTACAGGTTTTTTAGATTATAGGGATCTACCCTTCACTCATGATAAGAGATGACACCTAGGGACAGGAGTGGGGCCCAGTTGGCCCAGAGACTGGCCTTTCTGCACAGCATTCACTCTGGAGTTGGGATTGCTAAACTCTGCTGGTCCCTTAGTATGTGTTGCCAATCCAGTTTGAGGTTTTAATCCAGTGCTTTTATAAAGGCTTTCCTGGAGGATGACTGATAATCCACACTTGGATCTTAACCTTCATTCATCTGGAGCCACAGTTAATAAGGGGCATTAAGGGCTGCTTTGTGTTTCCATAGTTCCAGTGAAAATGTCCCATTAAG